TAAATTATAAGATACAAACTTTCAATAAATTATATGCACATGTAGCTGTTTCTAACCGTGTTTTACCAGAGCCTACATCACAGTGTCTAAACCGAAGATATGATCTTTATGACGTAACATATAATTTAATTTATTTTTTTCTGTGATTCATCAACTTCTATCGCGCGAGGAATATAATTTTCGTGGCCGGAAAAGCCAACGAATATGTGAAAAGGATACACGCCACTAAAATAATAACTAAAGCACAAACGGGAGAGACAGACAGGAAAACGCCGCCCTCCTCCTCCCCCTACGTGACAGTGCAGCATCTACACTTAACGGGTTCTTAATCAATTCAACCCTCAATTTAGGACTAGGTTATATACTGTTTTCAAAATATCTCCACCGCTTGTGTTTTCTCACCTTTACGTTAATATTTTTCACATAAACCTCACTCACTGGTTTCTTTGTGATTATCGAAAATGTACTAACATTCCAGGAACCCCTGAATGAATCCGAGGAACAGTGTCAACCACACTACATTTGCCACAACCAGTGCCGACGAGCCCTTTCGTTAAATACCAGGACTCATCAGGCTGAGTGGGACTGACCTTTGTTCACACCCATAAACTAATTAACAACAAAGTTTTCCGGTAGACTTGATGAAAACTTAGGTTCGGAAATAATGTTAGCCTTCAGAATTAAGACGTGCGTGATGTTACATCACAATAAGATTGATAACAATTTAAATCTCACTACAAATCACTATCGGTCATATCCTGATGAAATATCACACACATGATGCTACTAAATACCATGTCCCCCTCCCACCAGCTAGAGAATTCGACACCTTATGATTTGATGTAATATTTTGTTTTAAAACACTATACAAACGTGAACTATGTCGGTCCTTTGGATTCAATCGACCTCTCCATCAAAGTTCCACAAAAATCAACCCACGTTAAAAATCTATATCTGATAAAATTCAGCTCATTAGTTCGGTTTAACAATCCTCCTCCCCAATTTTAATAGATAAGTTTCATCCCTTTAAAAACGTCTGCTTGGATGAAACCCTAGTCTTTGATGTGCAGCCACAAAATGGTTTTATTTCGGTCGATTTTCTTGCTACCAAACTCGGTTTGTTTGTTATTAGTGAACTGCTTTCCCTCCAAGTTGTTCATTGCCACACAGTTGATAAGTTGAACAACTTCTGAGGTGGTTAGGGCGCTCGACTCGCAATCTGAGAGTCGAGGGCTCGAATCCCCATCCCACCAAACATGCTCGCCCTTAAAGCCGTGGGATCGTTATAATGTGACGGTCAACCCCACTATTCGTTGGTAAAAGAGTAACCCAAGAGTTGGCGGTGGGTGGTGATGACTAGCTGCCCTCCCTTTAGTCTTACACTGCAAAATTAGGGACGGCTAGCGCAGATAGCCATCGTGTAGCTTTGCGCGAAATTCAAAACAAACCAAACCAAACGAAACAACTTCTGAAGCGGTTAAACACACCGATTGCCGAAAGGGCGTCTTACTAATCGTTATAAGTAAAATTTCATATTAAAGTAGCTATATTCATTACCGGGTTACGCTTTGTTCTAATCAATATGGGCAGCTTTGCTTTGATCAGATATTAATTAAACAAAAACACGACAGTAGTCGCTCTTCCGTATTCTTTATAGATTTAAATTCTTGAGTCTACCCTCATTTACATTTAACGTTTTAACCGATACAGTGAAACTAAAATAAAAATAAGAGGGGAGAGAGAGAGAGAATACCAACATACATCTTGCGAATTGCGGAAACTTATGTTGTCATTACATCTTCTCACCGAATTGCTAGTTCCTAATTACAGTACCGATTTTCTGTCACACCAAACACCACGTGTACAATGGCGCGCGAAAGATGCACGTGGTATGGCAATCCTGATGAATCTAAAGCAATGAAGTGTGAGTGTTACCATCGGCACTTTTAAGCACATTCGGTACCCTCGGGATATTCAACTGTTTAAAGTTTTTCTCCACGTGGGCGGCACATGCTGTCCTCCAAAACCATACCATGTTTAATTTCACTATGCGTGCGTATGCGGAAGATGTGAAGTTTTTTTTTTTTTTACTACTTGAAGAAGACAAGTCACTTACCACCCACGTGCCCTCCCTCACAAAATAATAATAACAAAAAGGTGCAATAATTATATTTATTTTAAAACGTGTCAAGAGCTAGCCTTCGGAAACGGAATAAAGAAAGGATAATAATTCACCCCCTAATAACTCGAATCGGCCATTTCACGCTTCCTTTACTTTTATAGAAGAAAATAGTTGGATATCTAAAAAAAATTCCCCTTACCGCGTTTCAAAGCGAAAAAGTTATTACACAACAACTTACAAATAGCAAAATACCAGTAAATTCACAGCTAAATATACATGATTAGCCAATAACGTTACTGTTTATTTGTTCATCTGAACAGCACCTTATGTACATAATAGGCTTAACAGCCAAATCTTCCATAATTTTGAACTGCAGACGAGATGGAAGGCAATTGACAGTACCCGACGCCTCATAACCGAATAGCGTCGTCATTGATTGGAACTATATCCACAAATGAAAGTGTAAAACGTCTTTGGTATAGCACCTCGTTATTGGACCCGAGACTCTCGGATCTTTCAGGCCGATACGTCAGTCACTAGGCGCTCAGTTTCTCAAAACGGTTGCTAAAGTTCTATGTTTGAGTCTACTAAAATACGTCGAGAAAATAAAGAATAACAGACATCATCAAATGAAGAAGAACTGGTAAAATATATGGGTTACCTTGCACATTGTTACAAGAAAAACGATGCAAACATCATGTTATAACGTATGTCGGCGCTTCAACAATGCTATAAGATACGCTGTTAATGTGTTGTTTCTGAAATGAAACCAGGGGTGACAGTAATATTTTGATGGGAATAAAATTTCCCCAAAATATACCTTAACCTCCTCAGTAGCCCCCCCCCCCCACGCCCAATGAACAATGCGTTGTTTTAAAGATGGCCCACTTCCTAAATATTTCACAATATGTTTCCACCAGATCTAGGGTGCAATCCACTCATTTTTTGTGTCGATTGTTTGTTTGTAATTAAGCACAAAGCTACACAATGGGCTATCTGTGCTATGCCCACCACGGGTATCGAAACCCGGATTCTAGCGTTGTAAGTCCGCAGACATTCCGCTGTGCCACTGGGGGGGGGGGGGGGGCTTTGTGTACACTCACGCCTCTCGCTCGGACGACGCGTGTCCCCCGCCCGTCCGTACCGTACCGTAACGACCTA